TACCTCCAATCTTCTCGCATCTGCCTCTAAGAGTACCCAAGTTTCTGCTCCATATAGGAGGATTGGTAGAATCAGAGGTATAAACGAACCTTCGTTGCTGTTGTTAGAGACTTTCTCTTCCAGATGCACCAGGAAGTCGAACCAAAGGCCAAAGTAGCAGATCTGATTCAGTGGGTAATGTCAACTGATGCTGCGATCTTGTTCCCTTGAATGGTCGACCCCAGATATTTGAATGTTTCGACTTGTTCTAGCTGGGTCCCAATTTTGAATTTCTTTTTGAATTGTAGGCGAAATTTCTTTTGTATTGTATATCCTGACATGGTAGCCAGGGGACTAAAGTTTTCGCGAATATAATAGTCCATATACACTAAATGGTTTCGCGGATGGCGGCGTCTTTGACTTAGCGCAACTATTCGCTGTGTTGCTGCCATAGTTTGACCAAATTCCCCACCACAGTCATTCTCTTTAAATAGACGAATAAGCCTTTACTTTCGAATGGTTTGCCAGCTGATGTACCTTTGGATAATATAATTAAAAATAATATAATTTTATTATTTGCATGAAAACACTTGAATTAGCCTAATTGAACACTGGTTATATTCAATTTAAAATAATATTTGTATAGACTAAGATGTAAAGAAGCTTTTTGCAGTGGTGCCCACTAGTGGAGTGAACTGCCAACAGTGATAAGGTATAGCTAAGAGTGCTCCAGACCAACCTTCCGAACGAGTGACTTATAGAAGGTATACTTAACTAAGAACGTTTTGGGAAACACATGTTAATGATAAGGAACAGTTTAAGGTGTAAATTAAGAACGATGTAGCGTTAAGAAGGTTTCAGGAAACTCAGCCCTGGATGAACTTTACCTTTAAAATTACATTGCAAAGAAGTAGACTTTAAGTATGTTGGTATCTCTGCAGCAATAGCTAATTTTCTTTAATATGTTTTTTTTTTAACCTGTTTGTTCTTTGTAAAATAATAATAAATATTAAATGTGGTTGGGTCTCTGTTTTGTGCTGATAAGCCAACGCATTCTCATCCTTTAACGTCATATAGAACGCTATATGACAAAACGGCGCTATACTACACACATGGCACCCGTTATCGTTAATATAACACGCGCTGTGAGGGCTAAGTTTAGGTGTGGGGTAGGGTGTGTTTATAAGTTTAGGTGTGTGATTTATAACGTCTTGGGTTCACGTGTTATATTAACGATAAAGGGTGCCATGTGCGTAGTATAGCGCCGTTTTTGCATATAGCGTTCTATATGACGTTAAAGGATGAGAACGGGCTGGATAAGCAGACTTTTGTGAAGCCTTTCAAATTGATGAATGCTGATTATTAGGATCTAGTTCATCAAGATCTCACAGTGAGCAGGGGTGTGTCAATATTGAACTATTTAAAATTATATACACTGAATTCACAAAAGTATTGGCTATCAGCAGAGCGTTGGCGACTTTTATGCGGGACTCGCCTCAGGACTCGGTGACCCTGCTCTGTGACTTTTCCGCTGCTGACTTTGTTTCAACTTTCCAAAAACATCACTTACAGTTGACCATGAAATATCTATTATTATGTTAATAATGTTACATATGATATTTTTGAGCAGTTCTTAAGGCTTTATTCTTTTTTTTAATTATTTAATGGAATCTACCTGAATAAATAATGTAAATTCTCTTAATTGATCTACTCTATGACAGAGTGAATTTAATATTTAGTTTATTTCCACCATATCTTTAATGTACACAATATTAATATTTTACATTGTAATCCTTTTATTTGTAATATGTGGCTAGTTTGTGTGCTGCTGGGCGTCCCTGTGTGTGTAATAAGAGTGTACACGTGTTGTGGACCCGTACATAGGCATGTATTACTAATGCGCACTTTAAATAACAAAAATAAATAAATACTGCGCTGCTGACTTCAGACCAGTTTGAAAACTGCTGATTTCAGTTGTCTCAAAATAGCTACGTGCCAATAATGCGCCTGAACACACCTCATTTTCAGACTAGTGGGCGCACAAATAAGCGCAAATGCATTTGCTAATTACACAAAGTGGAGCAGCATGTGAAAACGATAACTGCGTCAGGCTGAAACTAGCAAAAAACACTAGCTAACCTGCCTGGTGCTGCATTGTGCAGGTGTGTATGATCAGTAAAGATTACGGCTGTGAGTGGTCACATCATTCACACACAACCTGTCTCAGGGGTTCGGCTGGACAGTTGATCCTCTAAAAAGGCTTAATTCCTCTAAAAAGTTGAAATTCCCATCACAATTCTCCTGCCTCCCATTTACTGACAAACACTTTTTGCCCCTTCCCCTTCTGACTTTTACCTTCTATTAAAGGGTCCGGAAAAATTAGCCCAGCTAATAGTAATCCTCTGTGAATTAGAACCGCTGTAAATATGTATGTAAATAACCAACGCATTCTCATCCCAAGGCGTCATATACAACGCTTTTGCCAAAGCGTAGACATCCAACGCATATGGTACCCTTTAGCATCAATATAACACGCTTTGGTTATGGTAGGTTTAGGTCTTGCCTTCTGTCCCATATATATCTGCGTCTCATATTGACACTAAAGGGTTCCATGTGCGTTGGATGTCTAGTGTCAAAAAAAGCACTTAGGGCAGGGGTAGGCAAGATCGGTCCTAGAGAGCCGCTGTCCTGCAGAGTTTGGCTCCAACACTCTCCTGCCAATAGCCTTAGTAATCCTGAAGACATTAGCTTTTTCACGTGTGTTTGATTAGGGTTGGAACCAGAGAATGTCTAATTGAAGAGAATTGGCACTGGCTGGTTACTTCCGGGTTGTGGACTGGCTGCAGTAACACGTCTCTGTCCATGCGGGGGCGCTCGCGGTCGAGTGCAGAATGAATGGGAGTCAATGGGGTTTCACCCCCATAAATCCAGTTTTCTCAGGATGTAATTTGAAAGTTGCATTCAAAAGGGAGGGCTAAGATAATACACTCAGCTGAAAATTGCATTTTTAAGTTCACTTATCTGTTCTAAAAACCCGTTCAAAAATGTGATGACGTCACACAATAGCAGAATGCTAGCGTGTTCCGGCCAACAACGGCTTAACCTGTAAGAAATCGAAAGGACATAAGTACTCGTTCATTCGACTTTTGGCCTATAATCTATATTGAACTTGCGGAATCAATAATAAAATCTATGTTAATTTAACGACAAGCAGGTGAAAGAGACACTTTTAGCCGTTTAGCCCCATAGACTCCCATTCATTCTGCTCTCGGCCGCAATCACCTCCAGTGGAATTCTAATGGAACTGCAACCAGGATGATACACAATGGGGCTAATAGGAAGTGCCAAGGCTCTCCGTAAGACGGGCTCTGGTTGGAACTAAATTCTGCAGGACAGCGGCTCTCTAGGACCAAACTAGCCTACCCCTGACTTAGGGGCACACAACTTCTTTTAGATTTAGGCAAGTGCTTATAACCAGCATAATCCAATCTAAATTTAATAGATACCTCGTTCAACCGGGCTTAACTGTTTTATATATCATGTTTCCCCACATGATATCAGGAAGCAACATAACACAGACATGACAACAGGAAGGTGACGTGGTGCGTTAATCGAGTCATCCCTCCCTACTTCTGCCATTAATGAACTGGCCATTATTATTACAGACATCCTGTGGTAAAAAGAAATGACTCCATCTACCCTTGTAAAGCCCGAATAGGGCATTAATCTTTTGAATTGTGCCGACTCTCTCACAAGAAGTGGCTCGAACTAACACTCTCCATGTTCCGTGTGATTGGCAGTTCGCTGCAGATGACAATCTTTCAGGCGCAAACACTCTAGAGTTAATCATAAACTCTGGATCAAATCCTGTGTTGAAAAAGAACATTTGAGCACTGTGAACCATCTGAATCTGATCAAAACCGGGTTCCATTTGTTTGGTTTTGTCGACTGTAAACCGGCTCTGAAACTGTTCAGTTATATTCACGTAACAGGTGAAAGACTTTCGACTTTAGTCATCTTGTATACTCCAAATGTAGTCCTTTTATGAGCCCCAAATGGGACACAACCAAACCAAAGCTGTCAGGCCATTGCAGTGAATGGTCCATGAAACAAACCCCACCTCTCAGATTAGAAAATGATCAAAACACTGCGCTCAGACGACCCCCGTGTGATCCAGCTGTCTTGTAACTGCTTCTTCGAGATCAGGGATTCTAGAAAGATCAAAGACACTTGAGCCCAAATCTCAGATCAATTGATTTGATCGATGGACAGAGTCCTGAAGAGACACTTCAAATGAACAAGCAGCATCGTCTCAATAGGCATGTTTTGTTCATCACAAGGAAAAGAGATGTCATGCTGAGACTTGATCTTCGAGACATAAATATTAATCTTAAAGTAAGAACATTCCCTGTTGTTGCTAAATTAGATGCTCCTCATGCCGGAGAAGCACCACAGGGTAGATTGTGATGCACACTATGTCTTAGAAGAGCAGTAAATAATCTCAAGAGGACATTAAAGAGTTCCATTGCACCAATATTTTCATGATAATACAGTAAATCCCCCCCCAAAAAAAAAAAAAAAAACAACTAAAAAACTTCTAATCAAAAATGTTTATAAACAGATAATATCATTAATATATCTTTATGTGGATTTAAATTAGAAATACATACAAATTAATAATTAAATAATAATAAAAATAATGTACTGTACTCTAATATAGATATAACATATCAGAAGCAAGAATCACTGCTGAGAAAAATTTGAATTAATGACAATTTGAGAGAGAATATGTCCTCAATTGTCATAAAATAATGTTACAAAGAACATTTATTGAATTGGCTTTATTTTCTTTATACAAAATCACTGTTTCTTTTGGATTTTGGGATGAAATGCAATATGTTTGAGTGAGTCACTGGTTCAGGTTAATCTAGTAGGAATTATAATCAGCTGAAAATAAAACAAACAGAAGCCAATGGGAGGTTTTCATTCAGACTGGAAAATATGTGTGTATAATATCTTACCGTTAAAGTGTAATTCGTCTGCATCTCACGGTCCACTGGTGTCAACAGGGTGAGGTAACGTGTGATGCCAGTGGGCGAGATTGTGAAGATGGAGGTGTAGCCATTCAGGGTGATCTTCAACTGAGGATCTTTTGTCTTCGCAAAACAAAGATGAGAGGGGATTCACACATTAACAAGATCATGACAAACATGACACAATCCCAAAACATTCTCATCCTTTAGCGTCATATAGAACGCTATATGACAAAACGGCGCTATACTACGCACATGGCACCCTTATCGTTAATATAACACATGCTGTAATGGGTAGGTTGAGGTGTGGGGTTGGGTAGTCTCATATTACGCTAAAGGATTTATAACGACTTGGGTTCGTGTGTTATATTAACGATGCCATGTGCGTAGTATAGCGTCGTTTTGTCATATTATGTCGTATTCTATGTGACGCTAAAGGATGAGAACGGGCTTCCTCATATTGCATAAACAAGCCAAAGAGTCACTCAACTACAGCATTCACTCTGACATGCAAGAACCTCTTCAGAAATACAACAGATTGAATTGCTTGTTTGAAAGTTCAGAGAATTCAAACGTAAAAAATCGAAGATCTAAAGCAAGATGTGTGTACATTGGATATAACATAATTCTCTCTCTATATATACATATATATATATATATATATATATAGAACCACCTATTTTGACTAGCAAGAAAATGGCTCTAAAGCTGTGACATAAATTAAAGCCTATTGGCTAAAAGGAAAATAAACAAACTATATACTGTATAATATATTCAATATACTGTATAATGTGCCAACTTCCTTTTATCAATAGGAAACAAAGCAACACATATATTTAAAATATAAACATAAATATATTAGGGCTGTTGATTTAATGTGTTAATTTAATTCATTAGAAATAGAAAAAAAAATGTTAAAATATAATTAAACACATTTTACGCACCCACCATCCCCTAGACCTACAGACAATGAAAAACATGAAACAAAGGCTGCCTTTCCAAGGACCCTTTTGAGATAGGCTACGATAGAACTTTAGGACATGATGGCCGAGATTTCGAGATGTGCAGCCTTACTAGCATGCAGCCTTAAGATGTAGGTCCATATATATATATATATATAAAACATTAAGAGGATTGTTAAGAGGACCAAAATATTAATACTATTAATACTAACTCAAACCTAATACGGCTAATACTAAATTCAAACCTGTTTGGCGTTCTTTCTTTTGTGGAATATAAAATAAGAATTTTGGAACCAAACTGTTTTTTGTTAAAATTGACTTCCACTGAATGAAAAAAAAAAGAAAAAGAAAAAAGAAAAAGAAAATGTGGCACAATGTCTCAAATCATCTACTTTAATGTTCAACAGAACAAATTATTTCATACAGGGTTGTGGGTGAGTGATTAACATAATTCAAATTTTTGGGTCTTTACTACCCATTTAAAACTCATTAACCTCTGAGCTGTAATACATGGCCTCTAAATATCAATATCTCAATGCAGTTCTGAAAAAAAAAAAAAAAAAAAAAAATCATGGCTGTTCCGGTGTAATAAATTCTTTGTTGAATCAAATAAAACACTTGTATAGTTCTTTTTGGAATATCTATTTGATACTGTTCTTATTTAATAATTATTTTAAATGATCATTTGGGGATAATTTCTCAGCCAAATTTGATTAATTAGTTATTAATTAGATTATAATTAATCACCAAATCATGAAAGCCCTAAACATATATAAAAAATCTTTATATAGAAATATTCCACACACCTTAACAGAAAAAGGAAAGAAAAGAAAAGAAAAGAAAAGAAAAAGGACAAAGGGAACACATCACATCACTCTGGTACCTACTGGTGTGGCTCCTGACAGAAGCTACAATATAAAACATATGGAGAGACTGAAACCATCTGTGATTTTATGTATCTGTGCATTCCCAAGACACTGAAGCAGCAGTCATTATGAAAATGCCCTGGCTCTTTTCATAAGAACATCTTACCTCTTCAATGTCATTGTCCAGTGCTATGATGCCCAGCGGAGCCGTGAGGTTGGAGCTCCCCGAGATGGTGGTGCCAACCGAGGCTGACTCACTGATGAAGCCCTGGTACGAGGGCCGCTGAAAATATGGTGCCTGGTTGTTCTCGTCCAAAATTTCAATCAGCAGTTCAGCATAGGCAGGAAGAGGGTGACCGTTATCCTGCTCGGCCTGTTCACAAACAAACAAACTAAATTGTCATGGTGAAATTATCTAAAAAGAAAAGCTTAAGGTTGTTATCTGTTTATCTGTGTAAACATTAAGGTACAATGATGACAGCTATACTGTAAGAATACAATGGTATACACACACCATGTTCAAATAAACCAACATTACCAAGCTACAAAAAAAGAAAAAAATGGTATAAAGGAAAAAAAAACAAAACAAAACATTATTACAATGTACAAGAAAAAAAAAAAAATCATGGTACATTTAGATACACTCTAAAAAAAAAAAAAGGTTATTCAGGGGTTCTTCATGGGGTTCTTTTTGGTGGTCATTGTGCTATATAGCAACACTACCATTTGAAGAACCAGTTAAGCCCAGTTTGGTTCTTCAGTGGTTCTCTGTGGTGGTTAACGTGCTCTATGGCACCATGTGACTAAGTGGCACTTAAAGTGGTTCCCCTATTACAAGCCAATGAACCACTTCTAGTCCTATTTAGCACCATTTTTTTAATTGCAAATATATATATATATGGCTTAAAGCTTTATTCAGTATGGCTACTGATGTTAAGCTAGAGACATGACTGTAAAGTGTGCAGCTTACCAAATAATAATAATAATAAAAAAAATATATATATATATATATATATATATATATATATATATATAAAGAAAAAAAATCTACTTCTTCAAAGGCTTTTAGTTAATCTTCAATCATGTCTAATTAAAGTCTAGCAGTTAAAACACGGTCCAAAATTCATGGACCCAAAAAGGCTCGAAATTATTTTTTGTTTTATTGAAGAGGAGTGTGTGGATACAGCTCCCAGAATATTTTCATTTCAGTTATGAGCACTATCCATTACTGCTTTCATTAAGAAGCCATGAAAGACTGCAGTTCTGTAACTCAACAGACACTTCACACACTTAAAATACACACACCTACACTCATCTGACAATGTTGACAGCAGCAATGTTTTGTTTGTTATTTGGTCTCGAATTTCAGTAAGCTTGAAGCTAACTGAGAATAGCATATCGTTCTTTGTTATTATGAAACAAAGAAATCATAACAGCAAACCCAGTCATGCATCGTTTCATAGAGGAAACATTTAAATTACCCCTGCTGTTACTCTGTTGTTCCACCGACAGAGCTGAATAATTTCACACTAGCGTTCGCTCCCTCTTTTCAGTTTCTCTCTCTCTCTCTCTCTCTCTCTCTCTCTCTCTCTCTCTCTCTCTCTCTCTCTCTCTCTCTCTCTCTCTCTCTCTCTCTCTCTCAATTCAATTCTCTCTCTCAATTCAATTAGAAGATACAGCATGTTTAATGTAATTACAAAGCTCTATTCCAAAAGCAAAAAAACGTCCTCGCTGTCTACCACCTACAAAGGCAGCATCCAAACTGAAATTGGAATCTAAAGTAAATGATTTGGAACACTCTATAGGCAGAAAACTCTGCATGGCATTCAAATAGTGTTCATCACGTTAAGCTCATGGGAGACCCGACAGATTGATTGATTGATTACAAAGTGCTGAGCTAATGATGTGATACTCTAAGAAGCATAAAAATATATAAAAATAGCACTTTTTTTAATAGATGGAACTACACTACAATACAAATGTATGGTAAGAAATCTGTTATGCTCACCAAGGCTAATTTTATTTGATACATATATATATATATATATATATATATATATTATAAACAGTAATATTGTGATATTTTATTGCAATTTGAAATAACAGTTTGCTATTTTATATTTTAAAATATGATTTATTCTTGATGGCAAAGATGATTGCAAATGGTGCATTTTCTACATAATTACTCTATCGTATATCTTTCAGAAATCATTCAAATAAGGTGATTTACTTCTCAAGAAACATTTAATTTTATACAATGGTCTGTCTGAGTACTCTATATCAGAATGGCTTTGATTCGGTAAACACAACATGCTTTTGTGCAGAACTACTTCCTTCCGCTATGGATTCAAAACTCAAGTTGACAGTTGAGCCCAATCCTCCATTACTAATTATAAAACGTCACTTTAGAACTATTAACGAAGGAACGTTGCGTCGTTTCATTGTAGCTTATTGTATTATGTAGAGTAGGCTACAGTATTATGGTATTATGAGAGAAAGGGGGGGGGGGGGGGGAGAGTCAACAATATCAAAATGAGTGTTTTACCTCAACGCATTCTCACCCCAAGGCGTCACCTTTGACCATGCTTCAATATTTGACGTTTTAGGCGCCCTTTAGCGTCACTTACATGACGCGATCCTACAGCGGCATCTAACTGACGCCAAAGGAAAGCGTCAGTTAAAGGATGCGGTTAGGTTTAGGTCTGGGGTGGGGGTAGGGTACACGCGATCCTAGGGCGTCATGTAACTGACGCTAAAGGGCGCCTAAAGCGTCAGATATTGAAGCATGGTCAAATAAGAATGGGCTGTTTACCTGCATCTGATATAGAATGCATTCTTCAGTTTGATCTCCATAATATTATAATACAGGATTTATGTTAAATATAACTAAAATAAGTTATAAATCTTTATTTTCCCCTTAACCAAAATCGATTTGCTCTGGAACAAGTAAAAGATTATTAAGACCAAAAATTGCCCATTTGATATACCCCAAATTAAATATATCATGTTTAACCATCTACATAAGAGTCAGTAACAAATTGCCAAAGGACTGGCCAAGATGATGCTGTTCTCACTCATCGAGTACATGAGCGCCGAACGCTCATTGACGGCCTGGAGCTTGCATCTGCGAAATCGTCTCAAAAGATTGGAATATTTTAGTCACATATTTGAGGTCCAAATAACCATATTCTCACCTAAAAATCTCTTAAAACTACATTTCATGACACAACAACAATAGTATTTTTTTTTTTAAATGGTGTATTTGCTCGACCGCCATGACGGTTGCTGCAAGCCGAGTGATACAAAAGAAACGGTTAGAGTGCTGTTACTGTGTGAATGGCACACTGCTGGAAAAGGCTCTCAGCCAATCAGATACGAGAACCTGAAATAACTGTTGTGTAAAACCATGTAATGCACGGGTCTTTCTAGTTAGTTTAATCATTTATTATTTAATTGAAGCACACAGACACACACACAAACACACAGAGATCAGAGATCATGCTATGCACACAGAAAAAAAAAAAAAAAATGAGCAAAGAAACTTATCAATGCTATCCTGTGACTTTCTGTCACCCATTCTGAATGCTGTTCTCAGCACCGAGGGGGTAACATTCCTGTTTTTTTGAAGTTTTTGAAACTCTGATCTTCACTATTAGTAGAACGCCATGGAACAGAGATGCAGGTAATTGACACACACATCTCTCTCTCTCAATAATTATTTGAAAATAAATGCTTTAATTCATCCCTTCAAATAAATACAATGTTACCTCTGTGGTTGATTTATAGTATTTTCCTCAATTTTCCTTGAGGTTTTGCCATATAAGTGGTCATTATATAATAAGAATATCCTGAAAGTTTCAGAACTGAAAACCTCCTTGTTAGTCCAAAATTAGCTTTTATTGTTACCAGGCCCAGCGAACGACTCGTCCTGAAATGTGCCTCTTTATGATGTAATAAGGAAGTTTTTAAATTACATTTTTTTAACCCAATGTTTGAGTTTGTCCATATTTGACCTAAAATTGGGTTAAAACAACCCAGCATTTTTTAGAGTGTAAGTGCACCCCAGGAAACATTATGAAACAATAAAACAATGCAATTCATGAGCCCTTTAAACCATGCATAATGCTACAGTAGATCTATGACGCCATAACTGACAAAAAAAAAGAATGGTAATTTTTACTTCTAGTCAAATATTGCACTGCAAACAGCAGTAAGAGTTTTAACTTGTCAATGCTGGAAAATGGTCATGGTATAAGTGGGATAATCAACGGCTAGCTGTACATGAAACGATTTGTTTAAAATAATTTAATGCGCAGATAGCCATGGATTGACTGTTACTTATCATCAATCCTTTGATGAATAAAAAGTTAACAGAAAGAACAGCATTAATTTGAAACATACAGTAAATCCTTTGTAACATTATAAATGTGTATATATATGAAAAAGTATATATGATGCTGCTTTAACTAGTGATAATCTTAAAATAATTACGTACCTTTTATAACTATATAGTCTATTTTGCTGCTGCCTACATAATGTAGTTTTGAAGAGAACAATAGTGATATTATGATATTAACGTGATATAAATATGAAGAGTTCAGATGCAAAAGCCTCTAAGTGCCATTTGAAATTTTCTTCTAAAATGATCATTTTTATCAAGCTTGTATATTTAAGTTCAGTGATTTCACTTAAATGGCAATGAAGATTACCTATTAATTGTCATTTAAGTGAAATTACTGAACTTAAATATACAAGCTTGATAAAAATGGTCATTTTAGAAGAAAATTTCAAATGGCATTTAGAGGCTTTTGCATCTGAACTCTGCATATATTTCCAAAAATACACTGCAGATGATATCCGGTGTTATTCTGGTTGTAAAACATTCAGACAATAATATTGTAAAAAAGATGACACTCTCGGTGCTCAATATAAGAGCCTCTGGAAACAGTGAGCAGGGCTTTCGATGAACCCCTCTTATCTTCACAGTCATCTACAGCCGATAACCTGACAATATAATGACCTTAATGATGAGAGAGAAGCGCTGGTAAAGCTCTCTGTCCACAGGCTTCAGCAGACGCAGCTCAGCTGTGCTCCTGTTGAGGGAGAAGAATTCTGTGTATGCAGGAGGTTGACCTGAAACGCAGTACAGAGAGACACAAAACTCGTGTTATTATCTGATTCATGCTATTATTCTGGGATGGTTTATCTAAGCCACTGAATACATGAGAAAAGGGAATTTTATATGTCCCATCCCAATTTCTTTAGTCTGGAGTCTTTATAAACACAGCAACAACAGCAGATGTTTAATTCTGAGGGGCAACATGTAACATTTAAACCCTTTAAACATGTATTAAATAAGCGAGTTTCTATTTCAAAATGCATGAATTCTATTTCAAATGTATGGAAACATGACTTTGAGTGCAGTTGTGTATGTCACTCTAATTAGAATACATTTCACATCAGCGTAAAAGCGTAAAAACTTTATGCTTTCTCAATAATACAACAATTGGGTTCAGTTGATATATTTTATCAATGCAACTTTTCTGATAGTTGCCAAGCTTAATCTTTGAACACCATTTTTAATATTAAGAATTAAAAAAAAAGTGTTTTCCCTGGTGAGTTTGTCAACTATGTAAAGGACAAAAACCGCATGCCACTTCATAAACTGATTAAGGTATATATTTTAAGTGACTCAAATATTCAATGTTTATCTATACTGAGATTATTTTACAGGACCTCTGCGAATTTTTTTTTTATTTTTTTTGCAAATATCTGTGTAAAGTTTTCACTAAGGACAAGATTAAAAAGAAAAAAAAAATCATTTTAATAGTTTTAAGAGATATAAAAACTCTTAAAAATATCTCCACATCATCACACACCATTCACCATGCCTTGAGATTGGCATGGTTTTACTTCAGTTAGCCTAATAGTTGGTTTGATTTGCATTGAAAGATGATCTTGGAAAGTACCCCATGCCAATCTCAAGGCATGGTGAATGGTGTGTGATGATGTGGGTCTATTTTAATTCCAAAGGCCAAGGGAACTTTATCAGGATGCATATTATCCTGGATCCATGAAATAACTGGCTTTTAAAAATAAAAATCTGCCTGACTCTATGGAAATTTAACATAGGGGTGTCCTGACTTATGCACCCTGTATTTTAAGGAAAAACATTTATTTATTTATGATACATTATTCATTCACAAAGAAAATTTGTGTCCTTAAAGGTTGGAGTTTTCCTTATTTTTCTAATTAAGATCAATATCCAAAAGACGATTTTTTTCAAACTTATTCACATCACTGTAAATACTGTTCGTTTTCTCAAACAAACCACTCGTTTCGTGTCTTAGGCCATCAATGTGTACTTACATTTACGAGTCATTAAATCATGTTTAATTTGGACTTCTCTGTGCGCTCATTGAGGAGGACCCAGGGTGGACCCCATAAACCTCCATTACAGTATATGACTGACAGACAAGAATAGTTTGACCTAAAAATATCAAAATTGAAAATACCGTGGAATCAAAGACACCTACATCTTGGATGCCCTTGAGGTAAGCTAAAACATATCAAAAAATAATTTCAAAGTGAACTATCCCTTTAAACATACTATCCCTTTCATACAGACACTCAGTCTGTAACACGGTTACCATAATCTACACTTTTGAACCTGTATATAGTAGTTCTTAGTAGTTATCTGGGAGGTATGAGAAAAATAGTGATTGGCTAATAGTAAACTACCACATTCAACTGAGCACTATTACTAATTAAGTCATTAGAGTTTCTTGTAAGTTAATGGCAGGTACTAGAATGTTAATATATTTCGTCACACGTGTAGTTATTCTTTAAAGATGGAACAGTATTCTAGAGTCTAGTCTCCATTTAACACATTTAATGTTAAATTATGATAAAAAAAAACTACTCTATGGCAAATCATTATCATCAATGTAAATAATAATATGTAATCTAAATGATAGAATGACTCGCGTGTCTATTTTTCAACACTTGCAAAATTGAAGTACCTACCAACCAGTATGAAGTACAGGATTCGGGGTCTGTCCGAGGGCGGCTGGATGTTTCTGTCCTGGTCTATGGCTCGAATGGGAGGAGTCACATTCAGAGGGTTCACTTTACTCTAGAAAAAAAACAGAGACAGAAATAGTTGCCTATGAAATCAAAGTTGGCAAATAAGTTCATTATGTAATGTCAATATATTTTTTTATATTTCATTTTTTTTTTTTCAGCCTAGACATGATGCAAAAGTTGCAAATTCACCAAAAACCAAATGATCTAAACTATATTACTATCCATATTGTTTTTATATCCCGGTAACACTTTACTATAAGGTTCCATTAATGCATGATCTAACATTAAGTAACACATTTGTTTCAGTATTTATCATTAGTTAAAAAAAAATACAATTGTTCATTGTCAGTTTAATAATGTAGGGAATTTAGAAATAAACATTATCTAAAATTAATAAATTTGGTTACACTTTTTAGATGATGGTCCAGTTTTCACTGTTAACTATGACTTTTGCCTGTATTGGGAAGGATTAATGGATGTAGAATATGATCATTCAGAATAAGGCATAAACAGACAATATCCTAGTAATGTGCATGTTAATAAGCAAATTGTTCATAGCGAGAATTTGATCTGTTAAATCTCTAAATTAAAGTGTTATCATCAATAGAGGGTACACGCGTGACGTCACCGTCGGCCGGAGTGCCTGCAGTTACTCACAGTGAGTGGTAAAAAGACTGAGTGGCTATATATGTTTTCAGCGTGAATGCCGCAAAAAACAAACAGAACACTTATGAAGTGGGAAAGAGCTTTGCGGTTGACTGTTCAACTAGATTTGACAAAAAAACGGAGGTATATTTTTACAGAGTGCTATAGAAAGAGGAGCAAATGGATCGCTGCAATTCACAGAAACAACTGGACTCCAGTCAGCGAAAGATGGATTTGCAGTTATCATTTTGTGTCAATATGCTGAATTTAGGTGTAAAACCATACCCATTTATTTTGTATTGTTATATACGTACTGTATATTAGCCTATGTTTAGGTCTATATTGCTCTTATTTCCTCTGTGTCGAAATCAGGCAAACATAAATGTCAGGCAACACGATCCCTGGCTGCATGTCAATATCCATGGATCACTGGATCTTTAGTAAGTTATAAGGAACACTATATTGAGTCCAACAATTAGCCTAGTTTAAATTGATAAAATTGTTCGTTTTAGTCGCATTTTCGCAGTTTCCCCTATCAAATCCAGTCACGCAGCAGTGTATGCCAGAGAGGACTGCGACTGCAACGTTTCATCATGTGAACGGCTTTTGGTATCGGTTTGGACATTTTCGCAATAAATAAATGATTGTGATTATACTTGTCTGTTAGTTATGTTTTTCTTCATAATTGTAGTTTGTTACGTAGTTTTAAGGAATTGTTATGGGTAGGTTTAGGGGTAGGAGTAGGATTGGTGGCTCAAAATATATTTTAATGCTATATTGTTTAATAAAACTGCCATTTCCCAACACATCTGTCCATTAAATTTTATTCTTTTTTATATTATGTATAAAATGGGTATGTTTAGGTTTGGGATTAGGGTTACGGGATCTTACATTTATCGATAAAATGGTAGAAAGGAAAATTATACAGATATCTTTATGATATATAATATACGTGAATAGTTAACGTTTTGTAGCTGTAAAAACGTAATAATGTTACGTTTAAATGTTGCAGATACGTCTATATTATACGTTTCAGCATCTATCCAAACGTACTAAAAAGTACGTTTTCTTTCTTTGCAAAAACGTAAAATACCTACGTATTAACAATGAGACCAGGCTGGTCAGGCTGAGAGTGTTTGCTCCGCCGGGAAAGTGACGTCAATGCATTCCCTCTATTCTTAAGTCAATTTTTTTTTGTAGTTAACTAATGTTAAGAAAATGCAACCTTATTGTAGAGTGTTACCTGTATCTGTATACTTAACAAATTATCTACTTGGTATACTTGTATTTCTCAAAACAATTCCTCCAAACAAAGCTGATGCATAAATAAAACATTTTGAGATCTCCATTAAGTCTCGAGCTTTCAAAGATCATCCACCGAGGAGAGTTTTCCTCTGGGCTAAAAGCAAAACTCTTGGGACACTTGACTGTACTAATCTGTGAGTGTGCATTTCATGCAGACAAATATGGCCTCTAACAGATATGATAATAAGTAAGAAGCATCTCCTTTGGGATGAGTGCTTCATTAAAATGGCAGTCTAAATACAAGCACTCAATGTTAAATATGCGAGCGCTGTAAATCAGAATTCTTGTCCACCTGAGACGTTTAAAACTACCCATAATCCCCCTTCCAGCAGGCATTAGGGTGATTAATCTGTGCCTGGGGACAGGAAAAAGACTTTCAAACCATATCCCAGCTCTAATTGTGAAATATGTGACCCCATTAATTACCACTATTCCTGCCAAAGGAAATGAGAAAGAAACTATTCGGAATGGAACACTAGCGTAATGCTTACTGCATTACACACTGACTTCTGATTTAAAAACAGTATCTAGAGAACGCATTATGCATTGACACAGAATATGTTTGCTATAAATTATTAAAATACTATTCTTACAATTCCTGCATTATAAAGTATACTGTGCAGCATGTGCATTTTCAGTATGAATGGGAAGATTACTGGAAGCAAGTTTCAAACATGCAAGGTAATGACCTTATGTAACTAGCATATAACTTTTTAAAACCTTTGCATGTGTAATTTAGTGAGCTGAATTGATTTAGTGTCCCTTTGTTTTCTAAATGTGTGTGAGGACTCTACTGCAAACAAAATCTACCACCGGGTACAAAGTAACTAATAAATTATCGCAAATAAATACTACATTTTTTTTTTTTTTTTTTATGCAGCCAGCATATCTTAAATTTTCAAAAAAAATAAATATTTTTTTTGATAACACTTTACGGTAAGGCTACATTAATTATCATGAATTCATGTGTAAATTAATGCTTGAACTATGCTTTAATATCTCATGAATCATAAGGAACCAACATATGTTCAACGTTTTTCATTCATGACTTCATGGACGAACAACACCTGAATTAAAACATTAACTAAGATGAGCACATCCTCATGAATTCTGATTTATTACACATGATCATGATGTTTTCTTTGTTCACAGTTATGCCACCATTAATATAACATTGTTCATCAGTGACCTAGTTACCACTTTAGTTAAGGGGCCACACACATCATGAAGTCATTGATAGATAATGCATAGTTAATGATGACTTCTGTTTTTGAATAACAGAATGTGTGTGCTATGAGCTGTGATTGGTCAATTTTGGGGTATGTCCAATACAGTATTCATCATTAACTAAGCATTATCTATTAATGACTTGTTTATGTGTGTGGCCGCTCAACTAAAGTGGTGACTACTGACCTATAGACAAAAAACAAAGAAATCATCATGATCATGCGTAATAAATCATTATTCATGATGATGTGCTTATCTTAGTTAATGTTTTAATTAAGGTGTTGTTCATTCATGAAGTCATAAATAAAAAATATTGAACTTGCGTTAGTTCCTGATGATTCATGAGATAATAATGCATAATTCATGTATGAATTTATACATGAATTCATGATAATTCATGTACCCTTACTTTAAAGTGTTACCGTTATTTTAATATTTATAATGTTGCACAACATTCATATTTCAAATAAATGCTGTTTACATGACTTTCTATTCATCAAAGAATCCTGCAAAAAGGTTTCACGATTCCCACAAAATATTAAGCAGCACAACATTGACTATCATACAAAATGTTTCTTGAGCACCAAATCATTATATTATAATGATTTCTGATCATTATAGGATCATGTGACACTGAAGACTGGAGTAATGATGCTGAAAATTACATTTTTGAATATATGTTATTTTAAATTGTAATAGTTTTTTTTCACACTACTAATGTTTTTATTGTGTTTTCAAAAAACGAATGCAGCATTGGTGAAAAAAGAGACATTTTTTTTTTACTGACCCAAAACTTGTATACTATAGTTTTGTATTTTAAATTGTGCTTTATTTTAATATTCATTAACTTAACATTTAACAGATCATAGCATTTTTGCACAGAAAATGTCAGGTAATCATACAGACCTACTGCAGAAAGGGTAGGAGTTGTGTGCTAATATGCTTCTCCAAACACACAGTAATGGCAGATCAACAGAATGAATAGAAGATGCACTAAAATCCAATAAAAAATGATGGATTTCCTCACACAGACTAATCCTTCATAATTTTCGAGATAATCTTAGAACAGCAGGAAAAGCGAAAAATGCAAGAACTGCAGTAAGCAGAATGCAAAAAAGAGTATGTTAAACTGCTGGAAATGAAACAAATCTGCAGCACATTTATTCAGTGCAGAAACTGGCAGCCGTTGGGAATGCAGCTTCTGCAGTGGAAAACATTTTTAGCATAAATTACAGAAGTCCCCCCTTAGCAAAGATCAGCCTTGACCATTTTTTTTCTCTCTCTCCATGTAGTTTGGTTCCAGCACGACCCATCTTTTCAAAGGTCTGCCCACCCTATCTCACCTCAACTGGGTTCTGATTTCATCAAACCTTCACATTTTGGCTTTGATGCGTGATGAACCCTGTGGTATAACTGGGGGTCTCATCCTGATTTTTCTCCCTGTCCCTGATCTCATTCAACCTGTACCAGCTAACTTTCATCATCCACCTCTTATCTCATCTAAATCCCTCGTTTCTTACCCTTCCTGTCCCTGCTGTATGAGTCTCATCTTTAGCCAAGCGCAGGTCAGTAGAGCAAAGTATGTGATGGGAAATATGAAAGGACTGACATTTAACTGGAAAAGGGTCAAGAAAACATCAACAACACTATGACACACATACTGAGCAGGTCCATACAATGTCCAGTGAAGACTTCAAAATGAGTCCATGAACAAGATTATTACAAGAAGATAACCAAATGTTCATGATTGGAGTGTTGACCCCTCATTTGTACATAAATGCATATTGAGGTCAGCAATAACATTAATAGTTTTATTCATCAAGGACTTAATTCAATTGATCAAAAGTGACATTAATATTGTTACAAAATTGTTCCCTTTCAAGGAACTTGAGCTGCATCAAAATGCTGTAGTAATGACTTTGCGTGATTGGGTCATGAAGCACGCATGAAACCAGTCCAATGGCGTGACGGAATGTCATGTGCTGTCATCGACCAGGGGTGCGTTTCCCGTACAACGATGTAACTCGCTGTTTCACTACCATTGTACGATGCATTGTTAAAGAGTAACTAAACACTAAACCAACATTTTTTTTAGTTAATGATCTGTAAGAATGGATCTTTATTAATACCAGTCATTAATTCGAGTAACTTTTTTGACATTTGTGGATAAAGTGTTTTATTTCTACAATATATGTTGTAAACACGTCTTAGTGCTGCCCTCTTCAGGTTGAACGGTGGCTACTGCAGTTGAATTTTCCTATTGGATGTTCCGCACTTCGTGACGTACGCAGGTTTCAACTCACCACGCAAGCTACGCCCTTGGCAGTATAAAAACCAGCTTGTTTCGTCAAAACCTCTGTAGGGAGTCAGGAGTTGGAATTGAGAGTATTGAAAACGATCAGGATAGAGTGTTTTAGCATCTATTTTGTCCCCTCTATCTCCGATGGGGTCTGCCCACTTTTTCAGCAGTTTTCAAATATTGCCAGTGGGTGGAGTCAGGCTCTGACCAGGGGTTTAGTTACCCTTTAAAGAAATCAACTTGCTAGTCGCAACTGTTTCCCGAAACCCATTGTCGCAAAGTATCGTTCAACCACGATGGTTTCGCACGTGGTGGAGTAATAACTACTTTTAATGAAACTGTTTAAGATCCAATTAACGCTAGATTTGTTAATATAAATTACAGACATGTTATCTGAGGACTATTTCAAATTGTTCTCAGTTATTTTGGTTTATTTGCAGACTCTATGTTTGGCTCATTCTTACATAGTAGATCACGTTCGCACATGCGCACTCTTCAAACACGTTACATTTGTATGTATTATAAATAAAATACACCGGTTGTACTGAATGTCAGCCTGCTTATTTTGCTCAGTATAAGGATTTATTACCTCCAAATGCCATGCAATATAGAAATGATGCCTCTAACCACAGGTCGAGAGCTGTCGTTCAAACCACACAACTTTGCGATGCGTTTTGCGAATGTTCGTTGGAACGATGGTCTCGGGAAACACCGACTCGTAGAACTATGCTGATAACGACGGAACTTGCGACCATAGTTGGCTAACGATGCTTTTGGGAAACGCACCCCAGTAAACTATAATGCCTGGTTCAGATTACACAATTATTTTTTTTTGACTGTTATAGTCACTGTGTCAGATTGCGCGATTTTGACTCTTAAAATCTTGTCGTGTCGTAAACACGACACGTCAGACTACACGTTGCTTCCTGAACAGTCATCACATGCCGTCTTTAACGGGCACGTGATGTCATCGAGAAGGCGAAACTAGTAGCGAGTAACTTTCGGAAACGAACGTAAACAAACAATGGATGAGGCGGTGAGTGTTGTATTGGCTGTCCTGTGTTCAGAAAAAAAGAAAGAAAAAAAGACAGAAAACACGACAATGGACACGTTCCTGGATTGCCCGAAGAGGACAGTATGAGCTGTCAATCCTTCAAAAATATTGTTGTATTGCTCTTATAAATTTTTACTTTTAGTTTTAACTTTAGCACCATCGTCTCCCTTTCATTTCAGCATTTTTGAAAGTTGTGTACGGAAAAGCTTGTGCTCCTATTGGTCAACCTCATCCATGTGACGGAACCGTCGTGGACGACCGTTAAAAAAATTAAACATGCTAGTCTTTTTGTCGTGATGTCGTGAAGCATCACAGACGCGACGTAGGTTGTCGCACACTTTGACATACTATACGAGATGATACGATCGAATCTTGCGTCCCGACACCCGTTGTCACTTACGAATCCCCAGGACACCCTACGTCAAACGGATCGTGCCAAAATCGGGCTAAAACCGTGTAATCTGATAGCCTGGATGCCAGCCCGAACTCCGCCCACAACATTTTTTGGTCGGGAAGTTCAGTCTGGACTCGATCCATTGAGGAGTAATTATAATCAGGCAAGAAATAAACGGGCCAATCAAATTGCCAGGGCGGGCTTTATACGATGATGGACAGATGATGTGCAGGGACGTAATCATCACGTTATCAAAGAGCGCTAACTGATATCCCTCAGAGATGACTGCAGCTGGAGAATTGAGATGTATAGATTCCGCTGTCGCGTCTGTTGCAATTAATTTTAATAGACAAACAGAGGGCGTCCTTCCAACATGATTCGGGAAAAGTGTAACTTATCACCTGGCTCTGGTGGTCGCTAAGAAGATGGAACATAATGAAAAGCCTGTGGTCATTGTGTTTTCTCCTTTGGTCGCACTCATGGAGAAGTAAGTAAAAGAAGCAACAATCGTTATTTAACTTCTAATCTAAAATAAGTAAGTTCTGTAGATGAAAACTGCGCTACGCAAAGGAGTTGACTTACTGCGTTGCTCTGATTGGTTGTAGGTTTACCGACCATCCAATTGAGTGCAGAGTTTGTTTGTTTTTTTTTCCTAATTCGGTTAAGACACGCCTCATAATCAAAGCCCAACGGAGCGGTATCAGACTCATTTTCTTATTAGAAAATGAGTATGATGAAGTCAGGCTAGTAATCTGAACCAGCCATAAAGCACACCTGAACCAAACAGCGTCAGCTTCTGTGTTTTGAGCAAGCGCTCTGTGAATCATTGCCCTTGGTGTTTTTTGTCTTTCATGGAATTGGCTAGGCAGGAGTTTTCACCCATAGCCTATATATATATATATATATTAGGGCTGTGCAAAAGTTAATTGCGATTAATCGCATCCAAAATAAAAGTCTGTTTTACATAATATATTTGAGTGTGCTGTATATAATTATTTTGTATATATAAATACCTATGCATGCATGTATATATTTAAGAATTATTTGCGCTTAAATTCTGTATATATATATAAATACATAATCAATATTATAATAATATAAATATTTTATATAGGAATAACACATTTTCTTAAACATATACATGCATGTGTGTGTATTTATATATACAAAATAATTATATACAGCACACACAAATATACTATGTAAACACAGACTTTTATTTTGGATGCGATTAATCGCAATTAACTTTTGCACAGCCCTAATATATATATATATATATATATATATATATATATATATATTATAGGTATTTTATTATGGCCGACATGGGACTTGGCTGTTGTACTTTGTACTAGAAGGCCTCTCACTAGCTCTATTTGAGCCCACTGAGGAAGTTTCTGAGAATATTTCTCTAAAGAGTGTCTTTCTCTTTGCCATTTCATTTCTCAAGAGAATTGGAGACATTCAAGCACTTTCGGTATCTCTCTCGTGCATGGAATTTTCTCCTGGTATGGTAAAGGGTTTTATTCACCAGAAGACATTCCTACAGTTCCTTAATACTGTAAGTTGCTTACTGCAACTGTAACTGTAAGACCTAGAGTACTGCAGGCCTTCTATCCTCCTCCAGACGTCAGACCGCCAGAACTTTATCTGCTCTGCCCACTTAGGGCCTTATATGATTACGTCCATAGAACTGTGGAGAAAGTCTGAACACTGTTTGTTTGCTTTGGGGTACCCACAAAGGGGTGCCCGACTTCTAAACAGAGGATGAGTAACTGGGTGGTCGAGGCAATCTCACCTGCTTATGAGTCAGCCTTCACCATTCGTGAGGCTTTACTATTTGGACCTCGGCTCCAATCCAGTTCGCTTTTATTTCACACAGACGGACACTTGCTCTTATGGCGCCGGGGGTATTAGCATTCCCCCATACTCCTGTTACGCCCGTGATCAACTTGGTTCAGCCTATCAGAAGCTGACGCTGTTTGGTTCAGGTGTGCTTTATAGTTTCCTGGTCGGTGACGTCACACGACGTTCCGTCACAACGTTGAACTGGTATCATATGTGCTTCATGACTCAATCACTCGTTTCCTCTTCAGGGAAACTTTAACCCTGAGCATCAAATCAGCATATTAGAATGATTTCTGATGGATCACGGGACACTGAAGAATGTCAGTAATTCAGCTTTAAAATTACATTTTAATATATATATACGTATAACCTGTATATACACAGTAAATAGACTGAACACGTAATATGACATCACCGTTTTCACAAATCCACACAGAGCTGATTTGAAAAACTGAAAACTGTTGAAAACGGTTTTGCATAACCGACCCCTTAAATTGAAATAATATTTCACAATATCACTATTTCTGTATGTTTAATCAAACAAGCATAAAATAAATCTTTCAAAAACAAAAAAAAAATTGCCCCATACCTTTGAATGGTAGTGTACAAGACAGTCAGTGAGTGGTGCATATTGCTTTGTGAGGCTGAATTATTAATACACATACAGTGCAGTTCAATGCACATACCCTGCTCTCAAGCACTCAAGCCTTTCTCTAAGAGAGCACAGCATCTATTCAGGACTGCCCACTGTATAGCCTCAGGTCACCCTGCACAGCTCAATGGGTCACAGATGAAGTGTTTCAGTCAGGTTAACACATCCTCCTGGATTTATATCTTGCTATGACAGCTGTTGCATACAGTATTGTAGTCATAGCGTGTGACTGAAAGCAGGATCTGACAACATCCTTGCTGGAAAATCCAGGTAAAACTATCTTAAGGCGGTCATTGATTTTACGTTGCTTCTAGTTTTAAAATAACCAATTGGGACCAGCTAGAAACCATGGTCATTAGATGGCCTTAATGAAGCTGAAGACCATTTTGGTCAAATTTTTGAGGTCTAGTAAATTTGAAGCTCATTTGAAGACCTCTGATGTTTTCTGTGAGTTCTTACCAGGTCAGTGAGTTCAGGAATAGCCACGCGGTATGTGATGGGGGTACAGTCCTGTGTGTTGTTGACCAGAACACACGGGAGGAACATGGGGCCTAGATCATCTCCATCTGAAACATCCAGAGTTAGAGTAGTGGTTGCTGTGCGACGACTTCCTGGAAACGGAGCCCGGTCCTAGAAAGAAAAAAAAAGCTGGCATGTTACCATAGATACCTAGACCTTCAGATACAACATTCAAAGATTTGCATACAGAGAGACACCAGCAAGGATAATGAGAGAATAGAAATAGGTGAAAGGACAACCGTTTTCCCCCCAAAATATATAAATTCTTAAATGATCTACTCTATTTTCGGTCCCACTTTATATTAAGTGGCTTTAAGTACTATGAACTTACATCGAAAAATAAGTACAACATATTTTTGTGTTCCTGTTGTATTGTAAAACACTTTTACTGCTATTGAGGTATGATACGGGTAAGGTTAGGGACAGGTGTGGAGGTATGGGTCGGTTTAAGGGTAGGTTAAGGTGTGAAGGAAGGGTCAACTGTGTAATTACAAATGTAATTACATAAATTAATTATAATATTAATTACAAATATAAGTACAATGTAAAAACATGTATGAACACAGTAAGTCCATTGTATCAAATTATTAATTTCAATGTAAGTGCATAATAGTTAAAGCCACTTACTTTTTTAAAAGATTAAATAATATTTGTTTTACTCAAAAGCTTAATTAATTAAATATATTTTGTATCACTTTTAACATTCAACCTTTTATAAACTATAAACTTTATAGATCAAAAGGTAATCACAAAATGTAAATGTAGTAAAATATAACTCCCCTTGCTGTAATTATTGACTGAATTCCAGTAATCAGGGTCTAAATAAATATTTAGAATAAATGTTATTTCTTTCCTCCAATAAGATTTTTGTATGAGAGAGAGAACTCAGTAACAAACCCATCCCCTCATTTTTCACATCCTGAAATGATTTGATTTTCTTCAAGGAGAGCTGTTGCAGCCCTGCTGTAAGGCATTTATTTGAGCCATTTGGCTCTATGAAAACATGGTCACGGCCTCTGGGGTCTGGACACCTCACAGAGATGCTGTTCTAGACGGGTTTAAAGCTAGTTGGGTATGCAGCTCATGTGACAGTGAAGGGATGCATTTGGAAGTGAATCAGGATGCCGGTTATTCAGTGACAGATACAGGGAGGTGTCTTGAATTTTAAAAAGTTCATTGTGGCAACCTAACAGGCCCAACACCGGTTGACCAAAAAGTCAAGGTTATTTTTTATCAACAGGAAAGGTTATGGAGTAAGGACTCATTTAGCAGACATCTTAATCCTAAAATCCTAAAGTGACTTACAGCTCATTGCTCTCTTCTTACAGGAATAAAATCAGTAACCTTTTGATTACCAGCGTGAGTTTATGACGATTGGTTTGATTTTAAAGCAGTATTGTGGGTTATAACAAATTGAGCTAGCCTGGTTAAAACCCGACCATTCTCAGTTGTAACTGAGTTATGGTCTGGCAAAGCGTCATAGACAGAGGGGCATCACCAACGGATGTCGAGCCCGTTCACATCCCAAAGCGCCATATAGGACGCTTTTGCAAAAGCGTAAATATCCAACGCACATGGCACCCTTTAACGTGAAATGAGACGCAGATATATTTGGGCAGAAGGCGCCCCCTAGTGGTCTAACCCTTACCCAACACCATACCTAAACTTAACCATTAACCGAAGCGTCTCATTAGACGTTAAAGGGTGCCATGTGCGTTGGATATTTACGCTTTTGCAAAAGCGTCCTATATGGCGCTTTGGGATGAGAACGCGTTGGGATGTCGCAGGTAGACCTAAAACCAATCAGAGTGACGAAGGAGATGACGTATGCAGAGCGGCGCCCGGCGGAGAAACATGTCAGAGTGTTGTTCTTTGCTCGGTTTATAACAAAAAGGAAACGTTCAAATCGTTTAAAACAGACGCGATAGCTGATTCAAACGAGTCATGTTCGATGGTGGCATCCATCTTTGTAATGTAGGCTACAAAATCTGCTTCAAAATCCCAGCGCTGTCGTCATCGTGTAAAGCCCGCCCCAACGTTTCTGATTGGTACCGCGATTTCGATTGATTGGAAATGGGCTTGAATGAGCTCTTTGCCACACTAACTTTCAGAGCAAATCTAAATTTGCCGGAAGTTCACTGTAAAAAACATTTTTTCTTTTGTCAAATCAACTTACATAATTTATTTCGTTGAGATAACTTATTATTTTGAGTTTATGATGATTAAATGAATCTCCTTCATTGTATTAACTCACTTTTTTTTTCTGTTCAATCAACTTAAAATTTTAAGTCAACCAAGTCACTTACTTTTTTAATTTAAACCAACAATATTTTTTTACAGTGTGGGTTTTTCCAGGCTAAGATTGAGCTATACAACATCAAAAACTGTGTTTATAGTAACACAGTGGAAGTCAATTGGGCAAGGTATTGGTTAAAAGTAGAAATGTTAATCTCATATTTTTGTTAAAGCACTTATATATTACTTGTGTTTGAAAATGTGTTATTGAGCTTTAAGTTGTACTATTAGCAGTGAAGCTCTAGCAGGCAAACTTTTGCACAATACTCACAACCACAAATTTAAAGTCAAGAACCCTCAAAAACAAACTTAAAAACTCTCTAACGTAAACTTATAAATGCAAAAAACTCCACCAAAACTCACAAGTATTTCCTCTCAACTCTCAAACATGAACTAGAAAGTAAACATTCATAAGTATAACCTCACCAATGCAAATTAAAAAACTCTCAAATGCAAGCTCAAACACTCTCAAATGCAAACTGAAACTTTAAACACAAACTCTCAAACAAGTACACTAAAGCCAAAGTAATGAATAAATAAATAAATAAATACAATTTCCAACAGATTTTTTACCTGTGTACCTTCAGTTACATATTTTCAATATTGGACCATTTTTTTTTACTCATAAATCATTACTATTGGTCACCCTTTACATCTGTCAGTGGGTTTTGAAAATGTTTAACCAATGAAAAGATTTAAAAAGAGCTTTAACTTGTAACTCCATTGGCTCCTCAAACTGTCAGAAAAACCTTACAACTTCGCCATCACCATTATTGTGTTAATCCATTTCCTGAAAAGTAGCATTTTTGGAGATAAAAGGTTTCTGCCTGACAGCGGCGATATATTACAGTCATGTTCAGTTTGTTTTGTTTTCATTCACATGAGTTTCCTTTGTCTAGTTTCCCGCCACTTATGAGTTGTCATGGTTACTGATTAGTCCTCTATTCAGCTGTGTCTCATTATTAACCTTGTTTGTACCACTATTTAAGTTCCTTTGGTCCCTCAATTCATTGTCAATTGCTGTCTGTGCACTAGCGTGCTGTTTGTTGGCTTTTTTTCCTGAGTTCATAAAAAAAAAATCTTATGTTCTTTTATAATCATCTTTGTTTTCTGTGGATCTAAGCGTTACGATTGCATACACGGTAATTAAGGTGTTTTATCACGTTAGTCTCATGATAACATGTTTAGTGTTTAAGCTTTTAGGCTGCCTTGCCCTAAAGACTTCAACAGTCTTTGTAAGTGCATTATTGTAAACAGAATTTTAAAATTTATTATCTCTGATAATTAACAGCATGTCAATATAGGTTAAGTTGTATTTACCCTGAAACAATCCTCTTACATGCATTGAGTACAAGATCGCTGTGAAAACATTGTGTTACAGTGAAGGATGTTTTATGTTTTAATAATCTTACATTGGCCTGGACTATAATTATATAGCGAGTTCTCTCCTCATAGTTCAGCCGCTCTGCCAAAACAATGTTACCAGACAGAGTCCCAGCAACCTGCACGGTCCTGTTTGACATCTGAAACGGAGAGATAACACGAGAAATTGCAGTATTTTAAATAAAACATGACAGTTTGAAAGTTCAGTATTCATGCATAATGTCACTAAATTAATCATTAATTACAATGAAGAACTTGAGTGTAACTGCAGAAGGTCTGTTTGATCTGAGGAAATACCGGGTCATTTGGGTTGTACTGAATGGCATATTCAATCTGTCCGTTTGGTCCGTCATCGATATCCGTGGCTCCATTGTTTCCTGAGAAGCCGGTAAAGATGGTGGTACCGACAGGAGTGAGCTAGAGAGATATCATTAAAAAAAAAAACACATGAAACAAACATCAGACACTGGCTTTATGCTTGTGTAACAACACAGCAACTATGCTTGTCTAACCACACAGCAACTCGTATAGGGCTCAGATGTGACCCATGTGACCCAGATAAGTGTGTGTGTTCCTTTTGGATCCCCTTAGAAGGCAGACTAGATGAGGACATAAGAGGGAAAAAAATACAAAGAAAACGACACAGAGAAAGAAAGAAAAAAAAACAAGGGGAAAACAACAGACAGCGAAAGTCAAAACTGAAAAAGAGAGCACAACTTGTACATATGCCTACACACAAATACACACACCACTGAAATGAAAATAACAGGTTAGGGTCATTCTACAGCGACGGCAACATTTCCATCTGGCATTTTTCCCAAGTTAACAAATCAATAATACATTAAACCTATATTGTACTATATTAAATCATTTCCTTTCTTATTTCATATTATGTCTCATTAAACAATTTCAGATCTTTAAAACATATAGTGGTGTTACACATAATTGAAAGGAAATAGGAACCAATTACAGCAGTGACAGTAAATTTATAAATAAATTGATTGTCAATATGGTGGAAGATATTGCAAAAAGACAAATGGTAACATTAATCTTCAAATCATGTATGATGTTTTCAAACAAATTCAAAAACATTTTACAAATGAGTAATTCTTGCAAAAAAAAAAAATAATAATAATAATAATCAATTCTGGATTAATCACTTCTACTTGTATTATACTTATTTGCTCATTTATTTAGACAAGATTGTCAGCCAAAACCATGGTCAAATCAAATAGATGCAAATAAGATAACAGCTGGAAAAACACAAAACTATATTACAAAGTAGATATTTTTTTAAAAATGATAACTTCAAATATTGATATTTCATACAGCTAAAGTTTTAAATTGTATACACTGTAAAAATGAATATGCTTTATCTAATCAAAAAATTGTGGCAACAGATTACAAAGCAAAATTATTCATTAAACTTAACAAATTAGAAATGAGTAATAATTAATCAAATTAATTCCTTAAAAGTTAACCATTTAAAATGAGTAAAACGTACAACAACCAAAAAAAAAAACAAACAAAAAAAAAAAAAACATAAATTTAAGTCACCATTATGGTGATCATTAGGTTTGTTTTAAAATTACGGTTTTCTCCTTCAGTGATTCTGCTTGTTACCATCATTTAACATGATAACATGCTTCTGATGATAACATCAGAAGCATTTCTATGGCAGTGGTTCCCAACCTTTTTTTGTCTGTGACCCCCTTTTTCCCAAGAAAATATTTTAGGGGCCCCCTTCACATTTAATGATATTATCGCTCTTCTAAGCTTGCAGCAAGGATAACAAAATACATTTTTTTTTTTCAAACAAACGGTATGTTTATGCACAAATAATAGCCTATAATATTGAAAATACAATGAACATCTTTAGGCCCTTTGTAATTTAACAACGTAAGTCTAGAAGAAGCCTATTAATTGGCCCTTTTTGAAATGCAAAAATAAAAATGCAACATTCACACTGGTGTTTAGGTTAAAAAAAAGAATATCTGCTATTAAATGACTGTTATCTGGGGCCTCAATACTTGCATGTTATCTGTGAGGCTTTATCAATGTGAGGCTTTATTTTTACGCTTTTGGTGCAATAGCGAGCAATAATAAACTTGCATTTATTAACAGAATAATGCGTCTTTCGGAAAGAACAGTGTACGAAAAAAAGAGTTCTTAAACACATCTAAGTTTCTTAGAACTGTAGTGGATCTAACGTCCGTTTCACACCCGTTTGCAGTGTGTGTTGCGGTGCAGGAGCGTGCTGTTAGTGCGTTCACATATTATGATGCGTTTGCAGTAACTGATCCGCGGCTGTACAACAAACACATATCGTTTGACTAGTAACCAAAAATCCAAATCACAGTCTCTAGACGAGCTAACTAGCACTATGACCTCCATTCGCTCTAGAACATTGGATATTGTTGCACCCATTAGATTAAAAAAGATCAGAGAAAAAAGTATAGCACCATGGTACAATAATACTACGCATGTTTTAAAGAAAGAAACCTGAAATTTAGAGCGTAAATGGAAAAAAAAAAAAAAACTAATTTAGAGGTCTTTAGAATCGCGTGGAAAGACAGTATGTCACGTTATAAAAAGGCTCTTAAAATGGCCAGGGCTGAGCACCTCAGCAAACTAATAGAAAATAACCAAAATAATCCAAGGTTTTTATTTAACACCGTGGCTAGACTAACAAATAAACAGACGACACCTGAACAAAATATCCCGTTACAGTTTAGTAGTAATGATTTCATGAACTTCTTCACCGAGAAAATTGAAAGCAACAGAATCACAATCGTAAACGCTCAATCTTTGCTCGCGCTTTATAATTCAGCCGCAATTATCACCCCGCAAGAACAATTACAATGCTTTAAAACCATAGAACAAAAAGAGTTAAAGAAACTTATCACTTAATCTAAAACAGCAACATGTTTATTAGATCCTATACCAACTAAACTACTGAAAGAAGTGTTACCTATCGTGGAAGAGCCTCTTCTTAATATTATTAACTCATTTTTATCTTTAGGTCAACGTTCCAAGAACATTCAAGCTGGCTGTTATAAAACCTCTTATTAAGAAACCGCAAATAGATCTAAATAACCTAGCAAATTACAGACTCATCTCAAATCTTCAATTTATGTCAAAAATATTAGAAAAAGTTGTGTCCGCTCAACTCGGCTCTTTCTTGCAAGAAAACGTCATCTATGAATAATTTCAGTCTGTATTTAGGCCACATCATAGCACTGAAAGTGCGCTTGTTAGAATCAAAAATGATCTACTTCTAGCTTCGGACCAAGGCTGTATCTCAATACTAGTTTTACTTGATCTTACCGCTGCGTTCGATACTATAGATCACACAATACTATTAGATCGACTACAGAACTACACTGGTGTTCAAGGACAAGCATTAAGCTGGTTCAGGTCATACTTATCTGACCGCTACCATTTCGTCTGCTTAAATGGAGAAAAATCGATCATAACTTCGGCAAACTATGGAGTGCCGCAGGGATCTATGTTAGGCCCTTTAATATTCTCAATATATATGCTGCCACTTGGTAATATTATAAGGAAACATGGAATTAGTTTCCATTGCTATGCTGATGACACTCATATATATATATATATTTCATCACGGCCAGATGAATACGCTAAATTATCCAAATTGACAGATTGTGTTAAAGATATAAAAGATTGGATGACGCGTAATTTTCTTTTATTAAATCCAGACAAGACAGAGGTAATACTTATCGGTTCTAAAAACCGTCCACAAAACCTTTTGCAGCATGACTTTAACATATTAGGATACCCTTATCCGCTACAGTAAAAGACCTGGGTGTTATATTAGACTGCAATCTTTCTTTTGAAAAGCATATTTCATATGTTACAAAAAAAATTTTCCACCTTAGAAACATTGCTAAGCTACTTAACATGCTATCTGTCTCTGATGCAGAAAAGTTAGTTCATGCATTCATGACCTCGAGATTATTACTGTAATGCTGTATTAGCCGGTTGTCCTGCATCCTCAATAAACAAGCTATACAGTTAGTCCAAAATGCAGCCGCTAGAGTTCTTACTAGATCAAGAAAATATGATCATATAACACCGATTCTATCATCACTTCATTGGTTACCTATAAAATTCTGTATTAATTACAAGGTATTGCTTTTGACTTATAAAGCTCTAAATGGTTTAGCTCCAGTCTATTTAACAGATCTTCTATCGCCCTACAATCCATCGCGCTCTCTAAGATCACTAAATTCGAGGCTTCTGGTCATTCCTAGGATATCCAGATCCACCAAAGGAGGGAGAGCATTTTCACATTTAGCTCCGAAGCTCTGGAATAGCCTTACTGATATTGTTCGTTGCTCAGACTCGCTCTCTCAGTTTAAAACTACGTAGACTAAAGACGCATTTATTTAGCCTGGCATTCATATACATTTTTTATCTCACAGTTACTGTAAATTTGGCCTCTAGTTCATAAACGCCAGAGGAGAACTGGCCCCCGAATGAGCCTGGGTTCTCCCAAGGTTTTTTTTTTTTTTTCTCCATTGGGTGAGCTGATGGAGTTTTAGGACACCATCGGATCACTTGATGGAGTTTTTCGGTTCCTTGCCACTGTTGCCTTTGGCTTGCTCAGTTGGGGATATTCAAATAAAATGACCCATCATACTATTGATCAGCTCTACCAAACTTGATTGTCTTTTCATGAATAAACAAACACTGTTATGTTGTCTTGATTGATACTGTGAAGCAGCTTTGATACAATCTGTATTGTGAAAAGCACTATATAAATATATTTGATTTGACTTGGCTTAACATCAGGTGTCTTCAATGTTGGCAATATAAAATCAATAGTTCCTAATTAATCTTTTACTTCTGTCTGTTAGTTAGATATTTTTTTTACGTTTTTTGGTGCAAACTTTACTCATTTTAAATTGTTAACATTTAAGGAATAATTTGATCAATTATTACTCAACTCTAATTTGTTAAATTTAATTAATAATATTGCTTTTTTTAATTATTATTTTTTTTATTTTTTTTTATTAATTATTATAATCTTTTGCCACAATTCTATTGATTAGATAAAACATATTCATTTTTACAGTGTATGTTTTTATTCAGCCATTTGAATGTCTTTCAGTTGTTACCACAATGTGCAATGTCCCATGCATGTTGAATAACTGAAGAGCTGGAAGGGATGAAGCCAAAACAATTGTTGGAAAACAACCTGACGATCTGGAGCTAATCTCATCTTGATTGGAATTCTGAGGTCAATGTCAACATTTCTGAGGACCCACACACACAGTCTACATTACACATGCCACTGGGACTCCAAATCACCCAGAAAACCCATAAACCAAGGCACGACCCTTATAGTGTAGATTAAAAGCAACTCGCAAGATCACATTTGCTACCAATACCTGATACTTCCCCCTCTGACTTCATCACTGTATTTATCCTCCCTCACTGTCTCATTTCACATGTAAAGGAGGAGAGAGGCAGAAAGAAAAGAATGACAGCATATTCGACTTCAAGGTGAGTAGAAAGATTGACAAGCATGAAGAAGCCAAGCTTTTACACACCCCCAACACGTACACACTCACGGAAGTTATTCAAACGTATTCCAAATAAATGAAAGCCATTACATTTAAAAATAGTCCTGATATCTGTACTTGTAGAGAGGAGGGTCAGGCGTGTGTGCGCGTCCATAATTTAAAGTATAATTTTGAGTCAATGCCAAAAGGGCATGGTTTTAGATCTGAATAACCGATGGAGTACGCCAACAGACTAAACAATGACTTTACATCTTTATATGTGTCAGCTTAACTCTCTCTATATACTGTGTGTGTGCGTGTGTGTATTTGTGTCAAAATCAGCTGAGGGGTAATTAAATGTAACTAATAGTTAAAAAAATATAATCTGTCAAGTATATATATATATATATATATATATATATATATGAAGAGTTCAGATGCAAAAGCCTCTAAATGCCATTTGAAATTTTCTTGTTTAATGATGGTTTTTTATCAAACTTGTATATTTAAGTTCAGTAATTTCACTTAAATGGCAATGATAATGACCTATTAATTGTTATTTAAGTGAAATTACTGAACTTAAATATACAAGTTTGATCAAAATCATCATTAAAGAAGAAAATTTCAAATGGCATTTAGAGGCTTTTGCATCTGAACTCTTCATATATATTGTATCAGCACATGGGAGGCGACTACAGGGACATTAATCATTAACAAGATCAATAGTTTATCTATTATCAAAACGATGAAAAAAATTCTTAATAAGTTCTTGATGTTCTGTTCTTGATCCGTCCATAATAGAAAAAAATCCTGAAAGAACAGTTCAACATTGTGCACTAATTTTTCAATTGGACACTCTTTAGCATGCATTGTGAAGTATTTCACTCAACAGTTCCTTGATCATTTACATTCGATTTCAGAGAGTAAAGTACAATTATGCGTTATGTTTTATGCAAGTTATTGTCTCTGACAGACAGCATGTTGAGCCACTCAGGCCAACATTTTCTCCCTCTTCCTGGAAAGCGGTGACACATTCAAAATATCCGGTAGAGTTGGTTTTCCAGGAAATTGGTTTAGTCTCTGGACATCTGCTTAGTGTATATTGCACGTTATTGTTTGACAGACGTAGATGTTCAGATATTCAAATGATGTGGATTTATGAGACAGATATATTATGATATAATAATGATTTATTTCTTATTTCTTTCTAGTATTTAGTGAACTGATATATGTTATATATTTGGGTAATTAGAAAACATGCTAGTGATGTTCAAAATTGGTTTTGTACTTCATATATATATATTATATATATATACACGTTTTTTTTTGTTTGTTTTTTTTTACTTTTTTTCATGTTATTTTTACGTTTTAGTTTATTTTGTGGCTTAAATAAATGATGACTTAAATTTTTGGCTTATCAAAAAAAGTTTCATTTAGCTATCACAAATTCGTTGACTTTTGAAAATCAAGTTTATTTTTTACTAGCAAATGAATGGTTTTGATTCACAGCGTTTTTTTTTTTTTTTGGCTCTTATGAAAAAATAAAAAAAATCTTTTATTTTAAACCATGAAAATGCATTTCCTGTTGTAAGCAATAGTGATTTGAATATTTTTTTAAACTGTTGTTCCATTATTACCCCATTAGCAGATTTTATAACATTTAATTTATAACAGATTTCACAGTCACTTTTGATTAAGTTAATGCGTCCTTGCTGAATAACAACGCATTCTCACCCCAAGGCGTCACCTTTGACCATGCTTCAATATTTGACGTTTTAGGCGCCCTTTAGCGTCACTTACATGACGCGATCCTACGGCGTCATCTAACTGACGCTAAAGGAAAGCGTCAGTTAGAGGACGCGGTTAGGTTTAGGTGTGGGGTGGGGGTAGGGTACACGCGATCCTAGGGCGTCATCTTACTGACGCTAAAGGGCGCCTAAAGCGTCAGATATTGAAGCATGTCCAAATGCTTCCCAAGGTGTCAGTTAAGTGACGCCTTGGGGGTGAGAATGGGCTGTGAATAAAAGTAATTTCTTTAAAAGAAAACTAAATCTTACTGACTCGTACTGTATATAAATTCCCACCTGTAATCTCCTCTGGTTCATTCATCACATTGCATTGCTAGATACCATACCCACCACAACGCTTTGTTGTTTTGTTGCACATTTTGTCAAATGAGGCACGTTGTTCAGGTATTCCATGAATATAGAACATTTGCATACTATGCACATTAAATAGAAACTGAATTGACAGAGAGACAGAGAGGAAACGAGGCAGAGCATAAGTTATCAGGCCTCACCTCATTAACTGATACATAGTAACCACTCTGTTGGAAACGAGGCGCGTTGTCATTTCTGTCCCTCACCACTATCCGTACTTCGTGCAGAATAACCGTTCCCACCAGCTCATTGGTGCACTGAATCCTTACCACAATGGTGGTGATGTAACTGGGCGGCTGGAAGAAAGAACATAAAGGGGTTTATAGAATATAGAGAAACCAACTATTGTAGGATGCATTAGCAAATCATGAAACAGGGACCATGTGAATGTGATTTGAAAGCTGAAAACATATATACAGTGCACATATGCTAATAAATGTTAACACTACCCATTTGTGATATTTTCAAAAGCTATGACCAGTCATCAATAGCATTAGGGTAACTAGCATTGACAATACAGCCAATCAGCAATCTCTAGCAATAAGATCACTGTTTGTGTAAATACACAAGATTACATAACTGAATGTAACAATGCAAACGGTAGAGCGTTAGCGCTTGCAACACCAAGGTCATGGGTTTGATTCCCAGGGGAAGCCAGAACTTATAAGAATGTAAATGTGTATCTTGAAATGCAATGTAAGTCGCTTTGGATAAAAGTGTCTGCCGAATACATAAATGTAAACAGGATTAATGTCAAGTCTTCTCATTTTCTTTTGGGTAAATAAGGTGTTTGGCTGCAAGTACTCAGAATGAAACAAACAGTGGAGCTGTTGAATGAAGTGGCTGAATCCCACAAAGCCTTCTGAAGAGGACGAGAAGGAGGAAGAGGAGGGAATGTCCTGTAATCATCATCAATAGTGGCAAGAGAAGCCTGTCACTACCACAATGCTTTTCAGACAAGCACACAGACACAGAAGGTTGGTGTATTGCACAAGGAAGCAGTATAAGAGGGAGGAGATGAAGCACTTGTGGAAAAAGGAATGGGAGAAATCACAATGATCATGTGGTGGCTGTAGGAGGAAAATCTTCTGCCTATTCTGTCTTTTTGATAGAAGCATTGGCTGGTCTTGTACTCTAGAACAGTAAATTCAACTCTGAGAGCACAGTCGAATAGAGAGAAAAAAAAACGTATAAAAATATAAAGCTATGTCTTAAAAGATAAAGCCAAAGACAATCCTATTCACTCACGTTCTATGAATATGCAATTACTGTAAATACATATAGTGCAGTCAAAAACATTGCATAACAACAACCTTAATAATCACCATCATCATTATCATCATCATCTAAAAGATATTCAATATGTAAAAGAAAAATGTCAAAATATATTTGAAATACTTTTACTTTAGAAGCATGCTTGCATAAGATTTTGGTAAATAATGAAACATTATTTTTATTATGAATAATTTTTAAGCATAAACCTCACACAATATTGTTATATTTCTAGTTAAAAGTAAAATTGTGATTTTTTTTAACAGTAATAAGAATCATCTAAAATATATATATATAAAAAAAGATTGTAAATATATTTTAAATAGACTAAATTCAGAAGCAAACTTGTTTTACACAAATGCATTAATGTCCTTGACATTTTTTTTTTTCAGGGTATTGCCAGGTCTTTCCCCAATGCTCCCCATTACATGGATTGGCACTCACACACATTCACACTTACGGACAATTTAGTGTCTCCAATTCAGTGTTTGGATTGTGGAAGAAACCACAAGAGGAGGAAACCCACAGGAGAACATGCACAATCCACACATAAAGCACTCAGGCTCAGCTTGGACTCGAACCGGGGACCTTCTTGCTATTAGGAGAGAGTGCTAACTCACGGTGAACGTGATTTCACCAAGTACCACATGTTCCTGGATCAACATCTTTGTTGATCCTGTATCAACTTTCCAATCAACCAATCAGATTTGAGGGTCAAGTTTATGTCAAGTTTTGAGTTAAGTTTATGTCAAGTTTAGGCTTAAGTACTTATACATCAGTGCTATTCACCTTTCATTATTCTCTGTGGCTGTCATCTTATTACCATGGCATGTGTGCTGCAAACTGGGACGAGACGTAATGTATAGCTTGTTTGTCTGGCAGACTTCCATATATAAACGTGTGTGTTTGTGTCAGCCAAAGGACAACAGCAGCAATATGTTATTTTTGACAGAATGTGCTCGTCTGTTTACTCACGTCTCGGTCCAGCACTCGGCCGGTGCTGTTGAGATACAGTCTCTGCAGTGCGGGGTCAAGGATAACCCAGTAATCATAGTTGTCCAGCAGTGTCAAGGAGATGGTTCTATCTGGATCCTGAGCACGACCATTGATCTGCATTTTTTCCACTAGAACGGTACCTGACAGAAAGAGATAGGCAGGAAATGGTTTGGTTTACTGACGTCCTCAAGTAATATGTAAGTACAAGTAATGAATGCTAATAATAATTTCCTTATGAATAAATTAAGTTGTAAATCCTCATTCTGTACTGACTCATTAAGTGTCCTATTTTGGCTCTTAAATATCTGTGTATTAGCCTGGTTTAAACCAGACCATTCTCAGTTGTAACTTCCAGAGCAAATCTAAATTTGGTAATGTTGTCTGGGTTTTCCCAGGCTATCTGTGTATGAGAAGTTGGTAAGAATTTGAAGGTAATAATTTCAGCATGTGTTAATGTATGGTTGGCTGAGTTTTTGCATCTCCTCCAAGATAATTACACTTCATTTTATGCTTCAAAGTGTTACAAATTATTTTAAATCCTTATGAATCCCCGCAGAAAAAAAAAAAAACCTAAATAATCAGCCCTCACAGAGCATAAACTGTTATCCGGCACTAATCAATTAAAGTTCAAAGAGGTCCATGCTCTACTTTTTTCTTCACAACAAAGGTCAGGACATGAGGACAATCAAAACAACTATGTTTGTAAATGAAATAAATATCCCTGAAAATCTGAAATATCCCAGCTTAAAGGGATAATTCACCCAAAAATGAAAATTAGCCCATGATTTACTCAACCTGAAGCCATCCTAGGTGTATGACATTTTTCTTTCTTTTTGGGTGAACTATCCCTTAATCAAATATTTTAAAGGGCATTTAAAAAGAGAAATGCCTATGATTCATTGTAAAATTTTAGGACGGCAGCCACAACACTGCAAATAATATCCTGAAATCCTGAAAGTAGTCAAACTAGTCTCTCCAAGCATTTCATCTCTATGACAGTAAAACACTAAACTGATTTCTTCTGTAAAACAAATGCTGCATTAGATTTGAAGAGGAAAAAACATGTGCAAATACTGTAAGATGCTGCACTAAATATTTTTATTGTCATGTAATGAGTTTACACAACAGTAAAACATCAGTGTAAATGCACAAAGCATTGAGTAAACAACATTTCCATAGAGGAAAATTGTAATTATCATTTCTGAGTAAATATGCAAACAGTATGCAGAACTTATTTGGTTTGAAATGAATCAAATATCAGGTGGGAAACAAAAGTGTCATATCAGCAACAACAATACTTTGGCCAATAAAACAAAATCCATTTGAATTACAATTAATATGACAATGTGTACAAAATAGTAACAAAACACTTTAGAAGTTGTAATATTCCTGTTTATGTTTACTATCTGTCGCCTGACAGACATAGTTACCATAACGAGTCGCTATGTGTTTGCGTCTTACTTTGGGGTGACACCGCTTGCTTGCTAACCTTTATTCACTCCCTTTCTTTGTTATGTGCTTTTTATTTTAATTATTCTGCTCACTATAAAAAATATAATACAAAGAGTTTGTCAGTAGTTGCACATTCACAACTGTGACCAAACAGTTTGTTTACAAAAGTGAGCGAGAATCATCTAACACTTTGTCTACACCAGAAGTGAACGGCGTGAGGCTTCAAAAGCAAAAAGAACCCATTATAATCAGTGATGCAGTCTACACTGGATGTGATATGACAAATCCCCAACAGTATACTGATGCCCTGTTCTGTTTCTTAATATGTTTGACCGACAATGGTTACGTCCGGTGTAGACGGTGAAATGCTCTCTCATCGATTTAATTAAAAATTAAAATTAACGTTTTACATAATTAATGCCCATCATGTCTGATGTACATTTGTCATGTCATACACCTGTCATGAAACTGCACATGGAACATGGACAGAGGTGATCCAAACGCAGGCTTTATTTAGAGCAGAATCCAGAGACAGGTACAGGGAAACATGCAGGGGTCAAAAGCAGGTAACAGTTGGTTTTGATCAGCAAACATACCATGCAGGGATTAGGCAAACGGGAAGACCAGATACAGGCAGGGAGTCCAAGAACCGTGAAACTAGAAAACACTCGGAAACACTAAGGAAACGCTCGAAGCAGTCAGACACTTACAATACTGAGCACCGAACAAAGGGAAAACTCAGGCTTAAATCAGGGAGCTCAATCTAAAACAGGTGCGACAAATAAACCATAATCAGTCCAGGGTAAAACATGAATGAAACAATAAACTAGGAAGGAGTGCCCCCCAGAGGCTCAAGCAGGCACTCCAGCCACAGATCGTCACAACACCAACCAATTGTGATGTTGCACAACAAACTCAAATTTCATTGGACAATGTGAATTGGAGTGGTATTTTCTTAGCCATACATTGAAACAACATGCCACAACCTGTTTTTAGTTTTTTAGCAAATTTGATATAGCTAAAAGAAAATAAATAAATACCATTCGTATTACACCGTGTCCTAACTACACGCGATGCGACGCCGCGACACGCGATAAAAGGTATCTTTTCCATGTTAATCAGAGTTTTTGTCCTAACCAGACGCGACGGCGACACGCGAAGTTTCTAATTTAGAAACGGTTCCTATTTCTGCGACGTCGCGGCTGACAGAATGAAGAAATTACACTGGTTATGAGTATACATTATTTATTTTTAGTTAAAAATAGGTCACTGTGCCACACAAGCGATAAGGATAATTTACCTCAGATTTTGAAAGCATGTAATATAGCGTTCAAAATGAATTCTATGCAAACATACAACTGTACTTCATAACAAAATTAGTCAATGAGTATATTTTGTTAATGTTTTTAATGTTATTTCTTGATTTGATTGTCCATACCCATTTCCAATGCGAGTGCGGGCCAACAGTGCGCTTTCACAGAGAGACTCTGCTCACATCATAGGCTCACACGCTGTTCTGAATGTGTGGCATCTCACAGTCGCGTCGCGTCTAGTGTGGACAGACACACTTGCTGTCGCTAGAATTTTATCGCGGCGCGTGTAGTTAGGACACGGTGTTACTGGTAGTAGTGTTTTTTTGTTGTTGTTGTTGTTGTTTGTTTGTTTTTGTTTTTTACCGTCGCTAGTTCACAAGTTCAGGTTCATTGAGTTGGTTCATGTCCAAGTGCCATCTACAGGCCTATTATGTAAAATGTAGGCTGCAGGCTAAAGGGATAGTTCACACAAAAATGAAAATTAGCCTATGATTTACTCACCCTCAAGTGACTGGCATTGCAGCGTATAACGTTGGATGCAGGCGTAGCGTAAGTTCCAGTGAGGAAGTGCAGAACAGATCAAAAGTAAACACCGGTCACGAATTAGAAGTCTAAAACGAACTTGGTTCTTGGTAGAATATTCTCACCGGAGCGCCCTATGTCATACGCTGGAACGCCAATCTCTTGTTATTGCAAGTACGACAGTCAGCAAAGATTTGTAGAGTTTGTAAAGCATTAAATATGGATATTTTTCTTACAAAAACGCATCGCTTTACTTCAGAGCTTCGAACACTTTTATGATGGATAGATGCATTTCTACGGACTTCAGAACAGAAACAGCTATTCACTGCCATTATAAAGCTTGGAAGAGCCAGAACATTTTTTTAAAATATAACTCCGATTGTATTCGTCTGAAAGAAGAATGTCCAAGGCGTTCTCATCCTATGGAGAACTGAAGGAAGAATGTCCCTGAAATTTCATCTAAATCCAACGCACATGGCACTCTTTAATCAATATATCACACAGAGTGCTTTGTTCGGTTATTGGTAGGTTTAGTTCTGGGGTAGGTTTAGGGTTAGACCACAAGGAGGCGCCTTCTGGCCCATTTATATCTGCGTCTCATATTGACGCTAAAGGGTGCCATTTGCGCTGGAAGTAGACGAAATGTCAAAAGTGTCACAGGTCGAGGGGAGGAACGCTCTGGTGACCAACCACCCCCCCCTCTAACTGAGTCACCACCGTGAGGAGCCGACACCACAGGCACACAACAGAGGACCCGGAGACAGAGATAAATTTCAAAGGAGTAACAATCTTTATTAAGCCAAAGGTTTCTCACAGTTCAAGAGACTCTCGTCGATGTATGATGATGGAGCAGGGGGGTTGAAGCTTACTTCTCCCCAGCGGTGCTGCAGACTTCCAGACCCAAGAGAAAGTATGTCAGGTAAGGATTCTTCACGGTACAAAGTACTCTCGTTGGTGCACAGTAATGAAGCAGTGGATTAGAAGCTTACTCTTCCCCAGCGGTGCTGCAGACTTCCAGACTCAGACAGTAAGTATGGCGGGTAAGGATTCTTCACAGTACAGAGTACTCTCGTTGGTGCACGATAATAAAGCAGTGGATTAAAAGCTTACTTTTTCCCCAGCGGTGCTGCAGACTTCCAGACTCAGACGGTAAGTATGGCAGGTAAGGATTCTTCACAGTACAGGGTACTCTCGTGGGTGCACGATAATAAAGCAGTGGATTAAAAGCTTACTTTTCCCCCAGCGGTGCTGCAGACTTCCAGATTCGGACAGTAAGTATGGCGGGTAAGGATTCTTCACAGTACAGAGTACTCTCGTTGGTGCACGATAATAAAACAGTGGATTAAAAGCTTACTTTTCCCCCAGCGGTGCTGCAGACTTCCAGACTCAGACAGTAAGTATGGCGGGTAAGGATTCTTCACAGTACAGAGTACTGTCGTTGGTGCACGATAATAAAGCAGTGGATTAAAAGCTTACTTTTTCCCCAGCGGTGCTGCAGACTTCCAGACTCAGACGGTAAGTATGGCAGGTAAGGATTCTTCACAGTACAGGGTACTCTCGTGGGTGCACGGTAATGAAGCAGTGGATTAAACGATTACTTTATCAGCGTTGCTGTATACTTCTGGGCTCAAACAGTAAGTAGAACAGGTGAGGATATTCACAGTACACAGTACTCTCTCTTCAGTTCACAATAGGGAGACAGTGAGTCATAAGGTTACTTTACCAGTGGTGCTGTATGCTTCTGGGCTCAAACAGCAAGTAGAACAGGTGTGGATCTTCACAGTACAAAGTACTCTCTCCTCAGTTCACAGTAGGGCGACAGTGGGTTAAACGATTACTTTATCAGCGTTGCT